TGGACGCTGTCGAAGGGGATGTCTGACGATGGCTGCAGTGATCCCTCCGTTGCGGAGTGGAGGGAGGGAAAACTCATGATGATGACTGCGTGCGATGACGGCCGCCGCAGGGTGTACGAGTCCGGTGACAAGGGGGATTCGTGGACGGAGGCCCTCGGAACACTCTCGCGCGTGTGGGGCAACAACCAAAAGCGACATGAGAAGGGCGTTGGAAGCGGGTTCATCACAGCGACGATTGAGAACAGGGACGTGATGCTCGTTACTCTGCCGGCGCATTCAAGGAGAAAGGGAAAAGAAAAGCGTGAACTTCATCTTTGGCTGACGGACAATACGCACATTGTTGATATTGGGTCGGTGTCCGGTGATGATGACGCTGCCGCCAGCTCCCTGCTGTACAAAAGTGCTGGAAGTGGACATAATAATAATGAGGAGTTGATTGCACTGTACGAGAAGAAGAAGGGCGATGGGGAACCATCACTCGGTGTGGTCTCTGTGCGTCTGACTGCGCAGCTGAAGCGGGTGAAGGAGGTGCTGGCGACCTGGAAGAAAGTGGACGAACGTGTCTCCAAGCTGTGCCTCACTTCACGTGCTGCGAAGAATCCCTCAGCTGGCAATGGCTGCAGCGCTGTTAAGACCGCGGATGGTCTGGTTGGCTTTTTGTCCGGCAACTTCTCTGGTAACACATGGATGGACGAGTACCTCGGAGTGGACGCCACAGTGAGGAAAGGAACGAATGGGGTGGCAACAGGGTATGCTGATGGAGTGACGTTCCATGGAGCGTGGGCGGAGTGGCCTGTTGGGAGGCAGGGGGAGAATCAGCTGTACCACTTTGCGAACCACAACTTCACTCTTGTGGCGACGCTGTCCGTCCACGGTGAGCCGAAGGGAGATACCCCCATTCCATTGATGGGTGCGACGATGAATGACAACAAGAAGACTGTGCTCCTGGGACTGTCATACGACAAAGAGGGGAAGTGGCAGGTGCTGTGCGGTGGCAAAACGACCAAGGAGCTCCGCATTAATTGGGAGCCAGAGACAACACACCAAGTGGCCATTGTGCTACGGAACGGCACCCAGGGCTCCGTGTACGTCGATGGTCAGCGTGTGGGAGATGCGTCATGTGAATTAAGAAACGCGGATTCGAAAGGAATCTCACACTTCTACATTGGAGGGGATGGAGGCAGCGCAGGGAGCAAAGAAGACGTGCCTGTGACCGCGACGAATTTCCTGCTGTACAACCGCCCGTTGGATGACAATGAGATCCGCGTCCTCAACGCAAACAAAATTTCTATTCCAAAGCTGACAGATCTGAAAACATTGGCGGCAGGAGCAACGGGTGTCGGTACCGCTCGTGACGGCGGGGCACATGGTGGCAGCACTGTTTGCGGAGACGGACTGCTGCCGCTGCTCCTTCTGCTGGGACTGTGGGGGATTGCCGCTTCTTGAGGAGTGTGTGGCCTCGGCGTGGAGCACCTCAGCCCTTCCCCACCACCGACGCACACACTCCTGGTAGTGGATGACTTTCCGTAAAGAAGAGTTTTCATGTTTTTTTCTACTTTTTTGTGCGTGTTTTCTTCCAATCTATCATCCCTTCCTTTTTTGATTTTGGAGGCAATCACTGTGGACATTTTTTTTTCTTTTCTACTCTTCCCTCTTTTAATTGTTTCTGCGGCACTCTTCCTGTGAGGGGTGCCGTGTGTTTCCCGCCCAACTGCTCCACTCGCACACCCACCGACACGCTCATGACGACGGCCCTGTGCGCCTCGCCTGCTGCACGCATGAGGAGGGGCGGCGACGAACGGCGCGCTGAGGGAGCCGTGACGTGTGGGCGTGCGACGAGGGCCTGTGGGGCGGAGCACACATTTCTTCCCTCTTGTTTTGCTTTTTTGCGGCCAGGGCGGGCAGACACCCGCAGCGCCACACACACACAGCCACACCCTGCCGCCGTGTTTTTAAGATTTTTTTTCTTTTGTCTTTCGTGTGCATTTCACGCGCCGGCATTTCTTTCGGTGTCGGTCTTGTGAGCATTTCTTTTCCCCGATGTTTTTTTTTTCGCTGCGCTCACTCTCCCGATGGAGTGACGCGACTCCCGTCATGTCTGCGTGCTTCTCTCAGTCCCCATGCACACACACGAGTGACTGAGCTCTGCAGGCCGCACTCACGCGCCGATGAGAGGACTGAGGGGAGCAGCAACACGCGGATGGCCCCATGAAATATAAACGATGTGCGGACACACAGAGGGTCGGACGGCTGAAAGACATGTAAATTTCTTTTTTGGGCAAAATATTTGCAGACAGTTTGGTGTGGTCACAAGGCAGCCGGCTACTTTTTTGAATTTGTGTGGAACAGTAATGGACGATTTCTTTATTATTTATAATTATTTTGTGTGATGGGGTTTGTGTAAGACGAAAGGGGAAGCTTAAAAAAAAAAAATTTGTGTGAATTGCCACTGCTTGGACTGCGGTGCAGTCATGAGTTTGAGCGGTCTTCTTCTTGTTGCTTCCGTTACGCGTCTTTGCTGCACGTTTTATTTTTTGCGTCTCTCCACATAATCTTATTTCTTTTCCTCTGACCGCGCACTTAGAGATACTTTTGCTTTACCAGCACAACTATCGTTTCAAGGTGTTAGGGATTACTCGCAGTATTAGGACAAGTAGCATTGGGATAACGATTTATCGGAATTGTTTTTCTGGATTTGTCATTTGTAGAAAGGGATTTGCTAAACGGGATTTCTGATTGACGGGAAGAGAGCGATGCACCACGACAGCTCTATTGGTACGTGTTTGGGACGGTGGATGCGGTCTGCGGTGGGTGCGTGTCCGCGCAGCCGGCACCGTGTGCAGCGCAGGGCCATTGCGGCTATTCGTGTGGCGCTGCTTGTTGTGTTGGCGCTGGTTGCGGCGGCGGCGTGGATGACTGCTGTGCATGCGGTGGTGGTGCGACTGCGGGGCGGCACGGTGGACAGAGCCGTCACGGTTGGCCGCGCCGTAGACGCGGTGCTGATGGACGGCGTGTACATGACGAACGGCGTGGCTGTTGTGTTCGACGTGCCGGCGATGCTTCCCGGCGCGCTGCGCATCGAACTGAGGAACTGCGTGTGCAACGGCGGTGCGCAGATCTACGTGCGGGGCTACAGCGGCGAGCCGGCGAGTGACCGGAGCCTGGAGGTGAGCGTGAGCGGGCTGTCCGGGAGCTACTGCTCGCTTGTGTTTGTGCACAACCTGCCGGCACACACGAACGTGACGGTCCGTGACTCGACGATTGTGACGGCGGGGCCGATGCGCTACTCCCAGCTGAGCGGGCTGACGGACGCGGTGGCGTCGCCGCTTGTGCTGTACGCGACGTCGCTGTTGCAGACGCAGCTGCGTGTGAGCAGCACGGTGCTGAGGTCGTTGCAGGCGGGCGGGATGGCGGTGTACGTTGGCGGCGGTGTGGACCTGCTGTCGAGTGCGGTGTTGCTTGACGGCGTGTCGCTGGAGGCGTCGGGCGGTCCGACCGCGTCCGCGATGCATGTGGCGTCCTCGTCGCGTCTCAGTCTGCGGAGCCACTCGGTGTTCTCCGTGACGAACGTGTCGGTTGTGAGCAGCGGCGGCGGCATTGTGCTTGGAGAGCGCCTCGCGGTGTCCGACTCGGTGCTGCGCTTCGTGGGCGTCGAGGGGCCTGTTGCGTCGTCGCTGGTGCGCTGCGACGGTGGGACGGTCGGTGCCGGCGGGTGGCTGGAGCTGCACGACGTGTGGGCGGTGGGCGAGGCGTCGTCGGTGGCGTCGCTGTCGGGGGTGACGCTGAGCGGCGGCACCGTGTCGATTGCACGCAGCACTGCCACCGGCGCTACGCTTGTCTCCGGGCCGACGATCACGAGCGGCGCCGTGTCGGTGCAGTGCAACCGTGCCGGCGGCCGGGTGCTGCAGAGCAGCGGCGACTACCGTTTGGCCGGCCTGCCTTCCGTGAGCGTGGTGCCGTGCGACGGCTGTGCGGCAGCGCTGGCGTGCTTTGATGGACTGACGGCGTCGTTCACCGACTGCGTGTGCAGCTGCCGTGCCGGCGGCATGGGCGAGGCGTGCCTGCCGTTCGACGTGCCGCCTGCGAGGACCGGCGGTGGTGCGCAGGACTGCATGGGTGGCGTGACGCTGACGGAGTCGGTGACGGTTGGCGGCGGGCGTGCGACGGCGTGCTTCGACTCGGTGGTTTTCAGCGGGCCGATCACTGTGGCGGTGGATCTGCGCTTGATGGATGCGTTCGCTGACGCGCTGAACGTGACGCTGCGCCACTGCGTGCTTGCGGGCGGCGCGCAGCTGCGGATTGGCGGCCTCAGCGAGAGCACGGCGCGCCTGATGCCGCACGTCCTCGTCAACATGACGAATGTGACGTCGGTGGAGGGCACGATCGTGCTGCATGGCGCGATGCCGCCGAACTCGAGTGTGCTGCTGGCGAACTCAACGCTGCGTGCGACGGTTGGCGGGTCGCAGTACGTGCAGACGACCCCTGGCTTCGCGGGATTTCGGTACGGCCCCGCGCTTGTCCTGGACGGCGTCCGGCTTCTGTCGACGCGGTTTGTCATGACGCGGTCGACGCTGGTGTGTGGCGGGGGTTCGTGCGCTGCGATCCTCGTGGAGCGCGGCCTCGGCGCGAACCTGTCCAGCGTATTCTACATGGACAACTGCGTCGTTATTTCGGAGACGCACGTGATGTACGCTCTTGCGTCGGACCTGCGTGTTGACGGCGGCTCCGTGTTCTCCATACAGAACAGCTCGTGGAGTGCGCCGAGCACCGAATACTACAAAGGCGCGTGTGTGTTTAAGGATGTTGTTGTGGATGGAGGCAGCGTGCTGCAGATTGTGTCCAGCATGTTCCGTCTCGGCTTTGCCATGCTCATCACAAACACGCTGACTGTGACTGGCGGCAGCTGGCTGGTGCACCGCGACAACGAGTTCCGCACCGCCTATGTTGTGTACGTGGCCGACGAGAATGGCGTGGCGTTCCACGATCGGAGTGTGTGGTCGATACTACACAACTACTTCACGTACGGCTCGTACTCGTCAACCATTCTACTTATGACAAGCAAGTGGTCATCACCATCCGACGCGCGCCCGACCATCTACGGCATGTGCAACGAGGCACGGGGCTCTCCTGTGACGAATTACGGAGAAGACCTCAATATTGGGACGCCCGTGACGATACTGGACTGTGGTGCGTGCACGGTGGACGCCGTGTGCTTCGCAGCGAGGACGAGCAGCATCAGCGGCTGTGAGTGTGTGTGCGCTGCTGGCGGCTACGGTGACACGTGTGTGCCAGCTGCGGTTCCGGACGGTCTTGGGCCGCTCCCGCTCCCCGATGCGGACGACACGGAGGTCCGCTGCGTGCACGGTGGCAGCATCAGCTCCGTGGACTATCCTGATCCCGGTGTGCGTGGTCTGTGCTTCGTCAACGTGACCTTCACTGCCGCGATCGTGCTTGACCTGTGGAGTTTTGACGCACCACAACAGATACTCAACATCACGCTGCTGCAGTGCGTCCTCGTGGGCCTGTTGATCAGGGGGAGTGTTGCGCGCGTGCACGTGAGCGTGACATCCTCGATGATGGATTCTGGTGAGTTGGAGTTTAAGGGTTATTTTGGCGCGAGCTCCCAGGTACTGGTGGTTGGCAGTACGCTTGTGTCGACGTTGAGCTACGCCATTGCCTTTCCGGAATTTTCCCTCGGTGCGAAGTCGACGCTGCTGCTACTTGACAACCACATTGAGGGAAATAATTACGCAGTTTATATATCCGAAACTATTGTTGTTGATGGTGGTGGGATCATTGTGAAGGGAAATACGCTGTTATCAACGGCGGCTGAGGACGAAGTACATACAGCGGTTTTTGTTGAAACTGTTGATGTGATGAAGGGCGGCTACATTGACGTGGAGAACAACACGATGAGTGCGGCTAATGGCATTTTTTTTTTTTGGGATACAAACTTGGCCTCCGCGGGGCTGCTGCGAGTGGCGGACTGCAACTTTGTTGGTGGGACGGAATTTTTTGATCCCGCGCTGGTGCATTTGTCTGGCTCTGTGGCCCTCGAGGGAGGTGCGCAGTGGCGTGTGGAGGGCAACAAAGTGAGTGCAGCCTCAATAATAACTGTGGAAGATACCTCGAAAAAAATTCGACTGTTGGGCAGCGGCACCACCGTGGTGCTTGCACACAACCGTCAGGTGGACGATATTTATCCCTTTGCTGATCTTTCTCTGCCACAGACGGTTGTTGCGTTACCCGCGCGTTTTGTGGTTGGGTGCAACCTGCAGGGCGGTAGGGAGGTGTTGTACGACGATGTGTTTCCGGAGGGCGTGGTGGTGTTCAGGTGTGGCACATGCAACGAAGACGCGGCGTGCTACATGCCCGGGACGGAGTCGGTGGACCGCAGCTCGTGCTCGTGCAGCTGCAAGGACGGATGGCATGGCGCGTCGTGTCTTCCTTTCGAGGTGCCCGACTTTTCTTTGCCGCCCGTAGCGGAGAGAGTCGTTGACGGCGACACGAGCTGCGTGGTGAACCAGACGCTGACGAACCTCGCGCCGAACATGTGGAAGACGCACCACTGCTACGTGGGTGTGACATTCAGCGGCGTGGGTGCAGTGCTGACGTTTTTCCTCGACAGTATGCCGCTGCATCTCCCCATCAACATCACGCTCACTGGGTGCAAATTCCGTGAGGGTGCCGCGCTGCAGTTTGTCGGGGGTGCTGAGGTGGCCGAGTCAGCCGGTGTCCTTATCCGCGTGAGCCAGACGGTGATGCGGTCCTCTGTTGTTGTGTTTGCACTCGCCCTCCCGCAGCACTGTGACATTGCCGTCACGGAGGTTGACGCGGTGCAGACCTTCGAGTTCGACTTACCGGGCACTGTGGGAAAGACGCTGAGCGTATTGTTGCTGCATGACGTCGTGTTGAGTGCGTCCTCGTTGTTGGTCAGTAACGTCAAGGCGCATGCGTTGAGGTACGCTGAGTTTGGTTTGTACTCTTTTGGGACGCTGACACTGGTGGGTGGCAGCTCGCTGTACGCGCGTTACTGCAGTCTTGATGGGTACGAACACCTGTTTTACGTGTACAGGCTCAGTGTGAGTGATCACTCTGTTTTTGCGCTGCTCAACAATACAATGTCCTCTGGTACGAGCCTCCTGTATCAGCACCACAGATTCAGCGTGTCGGAGCATAGCGTGTTGCGCGTGGTGGGGAACAGCGGTATCGTGGCCTGCGCCATCTACGCAGAAGACTTGTGGACCGTCCAAAGGTCAAGCTGGCTGGATTGGCGCGACAACAGCGTGGGAGTGGGTGCGATGTTTCACGAATCCGAGTTCGCTTCCTTTGCCATTGACGGCAGTAGTGTGGTGACGCTGACGGGCTGCACGATGGGCTCGACGGGATTGTCGAGGCCTCTGCTATCGCAGGCTAAATCCGGCTACGGGTTCGTTGCCGGATGTCTGACGGTTGCAGGACGAGTTTTGACGACGACGGGAGAACTGGAGCTGAATGGCATCACCAAGGTGACGACGGTTACCGCGTGCGGGGATTGCACGAAGGACGGCGACTGCTTTGCACCGCTGACGACGGCGGTCATTGACTGCAAGTGCCAGTGCGCTGCTGGAGGGCACGGCGAAGTGTGCGTCCCTGCGCCTGTGCCAGCCGGGCCGCCACCACCGCCACCACCGCCGTCGCCACTGCTACCGCCACCGCCGCCGATTGGTGAGTGCATCAGCGACATGGTGTACCCCGAGGTTGCGCAGGCCGTGGGCGGCGGTCTGTCGTGGCTGTGCTACCGCAACGTGACGTTCAGCGGGGGCGGCATGCGCCTGACGGTGCTGATTGGGGGGATGACGGGCAACGTGGCGAACGTCACGTTCGATGGATGCACGTGGAGGGACGGCGCCGTTCTGTTGCTGTTGGGCAACGCGTACGCCGCTGTGGGGTCGCTGAACATCGCCGTCACCGGCAACACGTTTAGTGACGCGCTGCTCAGCCCGGAGGGTGGGTTTCCACCACGCACGAACATCACGATCAGCGGGAACCGCTTCACGGTCACGAGAATGATCCCTCGGCTGGGTTTGGACCTTAGGAGGCCGTCGTGTGTTGCGATGAATGAGCTGGCGATCAGCAACTACTCTGCGGTGGTGCTCAGTGGCAATGCGTTTCAGACCATGACGACATCGTCAAGCGCCATTCAAGTTGTCAGGTATGCGCTGAGGGTGACGTGGCACTCTGTTTTTGCGGTGTTGGGCAACGCGTTTCATATGGCTGGTGGCGAGGGCACACCGATACATCTTGAAGGTTATGCCGAATCCTTGTCACTGTTTGTACTGAACGGCTCTGCTGTGGTGGTCCGAGGCAATCTTGTGTCGAGCCTGGTGCAGTACGTAATCATATTTGTTTTTTTTTTTTGTGTGGAGTCTCGGTCAGCGGTTGTTTTTCGGGACAACGACATGCAAGGAAGCTCGGCGGTTTTTTTTTCAAGCCACCATTCCCATATTTACTACAACTCTTGGCTGCAGTTGAGCGGCAACCTCTGCCGCGTGTCCCCAGTGGGTGCTTTTGCTGTTTTGAATCCCACAGTGAATCTCCGCGACTCCACGGTGTCCGTGTCCGGCAACCAGTTTATGTCCAGCAAGGGCACGCACACAGCGTTATGGATATACTCACGACCCAGCGATCTCACAAACGTAGCGATTGTGGCTGCGTGCAACACTGTGAACGGCGAGGAGGAAGCGAACTACGTTATTCCGTCCGTGTACAATGCCACCATTCTGACCTGCAGCGACCCATGCGCCCTCGCGACGTCGTGCTTCCCCGCGTACACGACGACGGCTTCGAGTGATGGCTGCGCCTGCACGTGCGCGGAGGGCGGCCACGGTGATGCGTGCCTGCCCGTTGCTGTCCCCGAGCCGCCGAGCACCGACGGCGCCGACTTGTGCGTGCGGGACGTGCGTGTGGATGTGAAGCTGAGTGCCGGTCTCGGGACGACGGTGGTGTGCTACTTTGGTGTGACCTTTGCGGCGGACGTCGTGGTGGATGTGGGGTCGATGTCAGGGAGCGTGCGCAACGTGACGCTGGCGAACTGCACGTTTGTGGGCGGAGCGAGCCTGTACGTTGTTGGGTGCCGTTCCGACCCGCCCGCTGGCGAGCGCGCCGATGTGTTAATCAGCGGGCTTGAGTCACGCTCCGGCGGCGGCGTGCTGGTGTCGAACCGATACCCGCCGGGCTCGCGCGTCACTGTGGTGGACTCGGTGCTGGTCGCAGAGAATCGTGTTGCGTATCGTAACGCCTACGGCCTTGGCGACGCCTCCGCGTGCCTCGTGTTGCACAACGTGAATCTGACTGGGAGCGTGCTGACCATTGCGCGCACGCATGTGGCGGCTGTGTTCCGCGACGCTGTTGGCGTGTTGGTGGTTGGCGGCGTGGCGCTGTCGTCGCGCGGAGCGCTGTACGTGGACGGGCTGTTGGTGCAGGCGGCGCTGGGGCTGTGCGTGTCGGTGGAGGGCGGTGTTGTTGCCAGTGGCGGCTCCGTGGTGGCGTTTGTTGGCAGCGACTTCCTGCTGTGCAAGCACGCGGTGTCTGTGCGTGGGGCTGTGAGTGTATCGGGCTCCGTTGTGGCGTTTGTGCGGAACGACTTTGCGTCGACGGAGGACTACGCGGTGGCGTTTTATTCGACGGTGAGTCTGGCCGACGGGTCGATGCTTCTGGCGAAGGGCAACGTGCACGACGGCGTCTCGAGGGAGATGCTCTACGCCGCTGGCGCCGTGACCGCTGCTGGGAGCACGCTGAGCCTTGTGCGCAACCGAGCACTGCTGTCTCGGATGCTATCGCTGAGCCTGTCGCTTGCGGCTGGGGCGCATGTGAGGGTGGCGTGTAACGACGCTGGTGGACGTGTCCTGTCGACGGCGGAGGAGTACGCAGCGGCTGGTTTTGGCGACGCTGGGCGCATCGACGTTGCTGGGTGCGACGACTGCGACAGGGACACGTACTGCTACGCCCCCGGGACGGCGTCGGCGAGCATGAGGAACGGTGTGTGCGTGTGTGCGTGCGGCAGCGGCGGGTACGGCGAGGCGTGCGTGCCTGTGGGAGCTCCCGCGCTGTCGCCCGCTGTGGGCACCGCGTCGAGTTTGTTTGTCCGTGAGGGCGTGACGGTGCGGTCGGTGTTCGTTGTGCCTGCCGGTGTGAGCGAGGTGACGCTGCGCCACGTTGTGCTGGACGGCGTGAGTCCGGTGCTCTACGTGCCGTGGATGGCGCGGGACGGCGTGCGGATCGTTGTGCAGAACGTGTCGCTGCTGAACGGCGCCGTGCTGTACGTGATGGGCGGTGGAGCGTTGCGCGATGCGGATGGTGCGGGGAGCGACGAGAGCGGGCCGGTGGAGCTGTCGGTGTGCGATGTGGAGGCGCTGAACGGTGCGCTTGTGCTGACCGGGACGTTTCCCGCGGGGTCTGTGCTGACGGTGACGGACTCCCTGCTGGTTGCCGCGAGGCCGACGCCGCTTGTGTATCTTCCCGGCTCGCAGTCGTCGCCGTACGCACCGGTGCTGGTACTATCGGGCCTGCGGCTCGTGCGGTCCGTCCTGGTTGTGTCCGGCGTTGCTCTCGTGACCGTGATGACTGGTGGGCGGACGGTGGTGGTGGACGGCGTTGTGCTGGAGCTCGTCGGTGGCGGTGTCGCGCTGGACTCGGCTGTGCTCGGTGGCGAATATGCGTTGTACGCGAGTGCGCGCGTGGTTGCGTCGGGGGGCGCTGTGCTGCGCGTGTCGGGGAGCCAGGTGTACGCTGCGCATGGGCTGGTATTCGGCAGTGGAGTGGAGGCCAACGCGTCCGCCATCGTGGTGAATGACAACACCGGTGCGCTGACGGATGGCGCGCTGCTGGTGCTGCGGGGGTCGGCGTCGTTTGCGTCCGGGTCGTGGCTGTCGGTGCGCGGCAACAGCATCAGCGGCAGGCTTCTGTCTGTGCCGTCGTACCCGCGCAGTGCGGAGCTCGTGCAGAGCACGTTGACGCTCTATGGGAACGCCGGCCGTGGACCCGTCGTGATGGACGGCACCGTTGCGCTCGGGGGCGCCGGCCGAAATTTCGTCGTGGGGTGCCTGACGCTCAACGGGCAGGCGCTGCAGCCGATGGACTACAGGTCCACCGGCATCATCGGGGAATTCCGCTCCGTGGCGTGTGGTGTGTGCGACGCCGAAGTGCGCTGCTTTGCTGCTACGACGAGGGCGATGTCGAGGTCGTGCCGCTGCCGCTGTGCTGAGGGCGGGTACGGGCGCGACTGCCTGCCGGTGTACCTGCCGCACGTGGACGGGTGCAACCGCACGCACGGCATTCCGCTGCTGAGCCACACGGCGACGCTGACGGAGACGCGCAGCCTGACGCCAACGTGGACGCCGGGCATGAGCACGGCGCAATACAGTCCGACGCAGTACAGTCAGACGGAGACCCCGCAGTTGACGGAGACGGTGGCACCGCCGCCCACGCGGACCCCCACGGCGTCGGTGAGCGGCACGCTGTGGTGGAGCGACGTGGCGTGCCCGACGCTTGCTGTGACGACGACGGCGGCTGGTGGAAGTCTGACGCAGAACGACATCCGCGGCGGTGGGAGCGCCGTCCCGACGCGGCTGATGGTGGCGCTGCCGCCACCGTTTCGGTGGGCACGCGACCCGCAGCCCGGCACGCACCTGAGCTTTGTGCCTGTGTCGACGGCGCAGCCGAGCGGGTTTGGCGGTCCGTGGGGAGCGATGCTGAGCAACGCGACGTGGGTGCGCAACGCGACGAATCCGTCCACCGTCCTGGAGCTGGCCGTGCCCGTGCACCGCGGTTACTTCATTGCTGCCGACGAAACGATAGTCATTCGCTGCGACGCTGCGGCGGTGTTTGGCGGCTGCAAGGGTGTGCTGCTTGGGTCCTTCACGATCAGTTCGAACACGCTGCCCGCTGCTGCCAGCGCCCTCTCGGCGATCACCGGCGTTGTTGCGGGTGCGACGGCTGTTGCCGTGCTGGTGACCGGCGGGCTGGGCTCCGTTCTGGAGTTGCAGGCGCTCGGCGTGTTCGCGAGGATGCCATGCGCCTCGGCGCAGGAGCGTGCGAGCACCGTTGCGCTGCCGTACTTCCTGTCGGTGTTTGCTGCCCTTGACCCGCTGTGGATAGTGGTGGGCAACGCGCTGCTGGCCGCTGTGTTCGGGTGCGTGCACTACGGTGTGACGGCCGCCTTCCAGCGGTGGCGCGGCGTGGACGCGGCGAGTGCGTGGGCTGCGATGCGGTTCCCGAGCCTGACGTACGTCGTGGCGCACGCGATGCACCTCGGCATATTCTTCGGCTCCGTGCTCGCACTGGCGATGCCCGGCGCCCGCGTGCTGCACCGCGTGATCGGTGTCGTTGGCGTGCTGTACGGTGTGGCGTTCCCTGCTGGTGTGTGCTACTTGATTGCCCGCCACACGGGCGCGAGCTTCACGAGGTACTGGCAGTTTTCTAGGAAGCCGCTGCACGAGCGCCTGCTGTACCCCGTCGGGTATTGGCACCCCGCGGCGCAGCAGCGGATGTACGGCGGCATGCTGACGAACATGAGGGGCAGCTACGTGTACTGGTGCGTGTTCCAGGTGTCGGTGCTGTGTGTGGTGTGCCTGATTGCGGCTGTGCACCCGCCCGTGGGAGGCTGCCACGTCCAGTACTTCTGCATGGCTGCTGTGCTGCTTGCGGGTGCGGGCGTGGTTGCCTTCACGAACATGATGCGCTCGGCCTTCCTGACGATGACGCACACTGCGAGCTTTGTGCTCCTTGCACTGCTGTGTCTGGTCAGCGCGGCGAACCACCTTGCGCCGAGCGACGGCGGAGCGAGGGCGTACGTGGCGATTGTGCTGCTGCTGACGACTGTGCTGCTTGCGGTCACTGTGTACAGCGTCGTTGTGTGGTACGCGGAGGACCGCCACTGGCAGGAGCTGCGCGAGCCTCGGCGTGGTGGGCTGGAGGCGCTGCTGCGCGATGACGAGGAGAGCGACGAAGAGACGCAGAAGCTCCACGAAATGACTTTTTTGTCGTACGCCTCAGGCACCACCGTTGGGTCATCGTACCGACCACCCGCACCGCCGTTGCAGGAGCCCTTAGCCGGTGACACCCGCTCAGACGCGCCGAGCCCACTGGACCGTGTATCCAGTGCGAGCTGCAGCATTAATTATGCTCTTCTGGACAGGTGAAGATGCTCCGTTTGACGAAAAATGTAGCGCAGTTTCTGCTGGAGTTGGAAAGTGTCTGCCCAAACAGTACCTCCACGTGGCGAGGGTGTACGAGGCTCCTCATGGTTGCGGTATAGAGTGAATGCTTTTGGAAGTGTGTTTACTTCTTTATTATTATTATTATTATTATTATTATTATTATTTATTGGACGCTTGGTTGATTGATTTGTTGTTTTTATTTTTATCGATTTTGTCAGGAACGGATTATCGAGGTATCACGCTAGCCCAGGGCGGCTGTGTCACGTGTGTGTGCTGCACGCTTGCCGCTGCAGCGCCCTCTCCGGATTTCGGGGTTCTTATTCAGATTTTTACTCAGTAATGAGGGCATGCTCCGCGGTGGTGGCTGTTGTGCGTGTCATTGAATTTATTTGAGAAAACATTAGGGACAAAAAACGATAACGTCCTTTTGTGGTTTTCACTAAATAAATTTAGGAAGTGTGCGTTGCTGGTCGATGAGGAAGGGCGTGGGGCCGCTGCTGCTGCGCGGAACAGCCATTCATCGGACTCTGCAACGGCATTTTCGCTGTTTTTTTTTGAGAATTTTTTCTATTTTGTCCATATGCCTGCAATGCCTTTCTCGTTCCACGATTACTGTGTGGGAGGGCATGCCTGTCACTTTTTATGCTTCCGTTGTTGTGTAGAAGGAACGAGAGGAAGAACGAAGAATTATGCGGAATGATGTGTTACCTTGCGTATATGTTGATGAATTTCTGTGGGGTATTTCATTACTTACACCTTCCTTTTTCTTTTTTTTTTACGTTGCTCCACACGTGTCTCGGTGTTTGCTTTACTACGGCCACACACGGGTAGCTTGAGCCGCGAATGTTTTTTTCTTTTAGGAGCTTGTGAAAAGAATGATCACGGGAGAGCTGGCTAACTTAATTAATGTATGTATATATCCTGATCAATGAATGCATTCTTTATGATACTTTCTACCGTATGAATCTTTTGGGAAGAACGCGACTTTGTAGGGGCGGGAACCGATAGAGGCCGGATAATATTTTAATTTTATTTTGCCATCCCACCCACCCCCTTGATTCCCACCACGCGGCGGGGTCTTGTGGTTGGAGGACCCCAAAGTCTGCCACTTCGTAAGTAATAATATTTCAAATCCTAACTGAGGACAAAGGACCATGCTAATGGTCCACAGAATTCTATATATTGAATGAGAATAAAACATTGAAGCAATTAACTAAAGAACCTTTTTTCCTAACTTGTTTGGTTTCCATAGATAATTTCAGGATCCGGCCAGCTGCCCGGAAGATTATTCTGATTTCATTTTGTGTTGGGCAATAACGTGGGCACGTTCGTCAAGCATCCACTCTTCACGGCATGGTGCCTGACATTTTGGAGTCATCCCAGATGTAACGCAGGCACCGCCGCCGTGGCACGCATGGAAGTAAGATGGAACGCGGGACAGTGAAAGATATTGTGCTGCACATTTTTATTTTGCATTATTTCTTTTGGGGTCATTTTAATTTAGAAGAAGAGGGATAAACATTGCACGATTCTGTGACTTGGAGTTATTACCTTTTTGGTATTGTTCTTATTGTTGGTGTGATCTCTGGTTCCCACCCGTGTTTGCCCCGATTGCTTTCCCTCAGCGGAGCTGTGCCATGGCCATCCTTTTTTTTTTTTGCTTGCGGGAGGAAAAACACATTGCGGGTGACGAAACCACACGTCATTTATTCGGCGTCCAGGGAGGTACGTATTTGAGGTGGAGTGCGCACATGTGGACGTTATATGAGACTAAAAGTGGGTTGACTGATCAACCGTCGCTCCTTTTCTGGAGAGTGTGCTCCTCTTTTTTTTTGTCGCCCTTTTGTGTCGGGGCACGACGGGATTGGGGACCACCGTCCCACGAAAGTCTTGCACACGTACACACTCTCATGCCACTGTCGCCTCGAATTCGGGTGTAAAACCCAAATTTCAGCTGCTTTTGCATTGGCACAAGTATTTTCATTATTAACTGACGCCATTCTGTCCGGCGTGTCACTTTGGTTGGATTGTGTGGGACTGCTCGCCAACACCATCGGAAAAAACAGGCCGACTTTTTCACGTATTTAATTGCCGTCTTGCGCGGAAGTGCCTTTTACGTGTTCTGTTGGGCACTCAAAAAGCGAGGAGTCCGGAACCATGCGTGCGTGGAATTCTTCCTGTCATGTGGACTGCAGGCAACACCGAGAGGCTGTCACTTTAACTCCGCAGAGTTATCGTGTCTTCACAGGGGTGGCAGGGAAATTCCATGCAGCCTGCTACTGCTGGTGTGTCCTCAAATGTTGTCACTCCATGCGAATAATGTGCTTCAGCGAGTGAGGGGTTGATTGGGTTTGTGTGCACTCTGATTCTGTTTGCTAGTTTGTGTGGGCACGCAATACTTGAGTGGTGGGAAAATGGAGCGGGGCGATGCATGGCCGCGTCCAGCCCGTTGCTCACCGCACGATGATGTGGTGCACATTGTGGTGTTGACTCTCCGATGTGACTGCGGTCTCCTGCGCGGCAATGGTGGTGGGTGGAGGAGAGTGTTGGCCCGCGGCGGGACGATGGGATTGTGTTCTCTTTCTTTCTAATTTGAAGTTGCGCAGTTATTTTTGGTTTCAGTGATGGGGCAAACAGACAGACAACGTGAATAAAACAAAATAAATTGAAAGGGCGATAATGTGGCGGTGCTGTGGTTGGTTGCATGCCTCGTGTTGCTGCGGGGGTGGTGGGTCTTGACTGTTTTGCCGACAGGCGTTGCAGTGCGGCTGCATGGCGCACCGACCGTCCCGCCATGGGAGTGCCACGCCCAACGCCATTGGGACAGCGGGACGAAGCAGCCGCGAGTGTCCTTTGGAGCCAGCGGCAACTGCTGGCCGCAGTTGGGTGGTGTGAGTGGGATGCTTCACCACACGGGTGTTGCGATGGCACCTCGCCGTGGCATCTCCGACGATGGCTTCGACGCTGCAGCTTGCGGAGGAGTGGAGGAAACCCAGCGGCCAAAGTGGACTTTTGACAGTCGGCTGGATAAAGTACTGCTAGAGGGAAAGGAACGCACCGCCAGCATGAGGCCGAATCATTTTCTTTGGAATTATTTTGACGGCAGGGGCGTTGAGGAATTCAATGAGAACGTCTATATGAAGGACTTTTTAGGTAGCCCCAGTAAGTTCATCTAAGACAAAGTTTTATTGGGCAAAATAAAGGCATCGCCGCCGTAACAAGAGCTGAAAAAAGAGTGTGAGGAGTTTTACATACTATTGGGGGCTTCACATAAGCTTACAAAAGGATTTTTTGTCACTCTCAGAGAATGGATGGACTTTGAAAGAAAGGATACGGTCATTCCTCTTGCAAGGGCACAAATAAACACAGCCTACTCCTATGTACTGAGAGTAGAGAGGCGGGAGGCAGAAGAAAGGGAAAGGCGAGAACGACAAAAACTGGGAATTGACGTTTCCACTAGGATTAAATATGCGGTTTTTAAAGGAAGGGTTTGCGTGGACAAAATGAAGTTGAATGATTTTCTTGCGATGGAATTGGACGGCAGGGGCGCTTTGGACGCCAATCGGGATGTCTTGTTGGAGGGTTTTTTTGAGGACCACAAGAAATATATTTGCGATGCGGGAGTATTGGGCGAAATACAGGCATCGGATCGTTATGTGAGGATGGAGAGGGCTGTAAGGGATGAAATGGATATGGCAGAGGATGTACACAAGCTTTACAAAAGTGGTGTGGACAATCTACTGAAGTGGTTGGTGGCTGCTGCGGAGGTAAAGGCAAATGTTCATGACGTCGCTAAAGGGTTTTTGGATGCAGCCCTTCAGGAAGCGAGGAACCCAACGACGACGATTGCAGCGATGAAAATGGAGGGGTTTTACGATTCTGTGCACAATGCGAGGCGGAGCCATGCGGTGGAAGTACCTGACGGCGTGGAGCGAAAGAAAACGGGGACGGGAATGGAGGTGCATGAGGGGAGGCCAGAACAGTCATGGTCGTACAGGAAAGCTGACGACGCTATCGAAGAGAATGACGCTGTGCAGCAATTCGGTGCGGCATCTCCCGTGTTGATGGTGCTCGCCTCGGAGGAGGGATGGCCGTACTCGTGGCATACGATACAGGATCTTCCTAAGGACGTTTTTGTAAACTGTGAGGTGGAGCGAGTGTGGCAGATCGTCAAGGGCGATCTAACCGCGTGGTTCAGCCATCACGGTGGGACAGACTTTGAGCCCGAGCGGCGTGTGTTGATTGGGACGCCCGGGATCGGGAATTCGGTGGCTGCCGGCTCGTACCTCCTCTACCAGCTGCTGCACTGCGACGTCGAGAAACTCCAAGTGGTTGTCTACAGTTTTGGTGGAAGTACGACGTACGTGTTTGAAAAGACCGTCAAAACGGTGACAAGATACGTGGGTAGAGGAGCATCCACGGACGTTTTGTGGGATTGTGGGATTGTGTGATGAAAGGGCATATTATCTACTGTGTGACAGAGAAAGGGACACCGCCAGCGAAATATTTTGTGTCTAGCACCGGATGGGGCATGATTGTGGTGTCATCGTCAAACGTGCGCAACTATCGTAAATGGATTAGGCAATCAAACGCCGAGTGAATCATCGTGAATTGCCCCGACGGGATGGATGTGAAGGCGATGTGTGCGTGGACGAAGCGCGGTGGGATTAGAGATGATCAAGCGGAATGCTGGAAGATGGTCAAAGAACGCATGGATAACGTGGGGCCGATTCCACGTTACATCTTTGATGCGAATGAGTTCATTGCACACGGTGCTGCCATTGAGGATGCCTTGGATGGGGTCAATTCTCGGGATGGTGAAAAGCACTTCACACATGGGGGAGTGAGACTGTGGTATTCTGAGAATGCGTCTCAAAAGCTCGTGAGGGTTGTCCGAGGAAGAGGAGAAGTCGGTGCTGAGGTATTTCTGAACGCACCGATATCTTTTTTCCTCGGGCGTCGAATACCGCACTATTTTGGCA